ATAAAATTTATATATATCATAATTTAATACTTCCGAATTATCAAAAATATGGCAAATGATTTCAAATTTTTATAAAAATGTGTGACTAATAATAAAAATCGAGAGAGATAGACTTAGTCTTAGACTTCAATCATAAACTTCATAAAAATTTAAAGGTATAGTTCATTTACGTGATAAAAATAAAAAATGTATTTATGTTATGTTTATTTAAATATAATTCTATTTTTAACATTATTAATAATTTAAAAATAAAATAATAATTCACTTTAAATTTTCGATAAACTTGATAGCACGTCAAAACAAAATAATTAAAGTGAACCTAAGGAAGAAGGACAAAATTGGAAGCCCCCACCATAAAACGACAAAATACATGCCATCACGCGGTTTAGCACGAACACGTGTCACTATCATATGGTATATTTGTAGTTCTTAATAGAAAGTAAGGGTAGATTAGTCAACAAATTTAACATTAACAATTAAATTTAGTAGGCACGTGGCTTGGCGTGGACCGCACGCATGGAAAATTAAAGTAGAGCCTTTTACAGTGTGTTTCGTCGTGGAGCTAATGTTTGTATTTGCTTTTTTTTTTATATATATATATATTATTTTTCAGAGAACGTTTTTTTCTATCGAACATATTAAAAATTTCTGATGAAAAAGAAGTTTGGTTCACTATACTGACTCCTTTATCGTTTTATTTTATAAGATTATACTGGTATAAATATTGATATTTATAGTTAAGAAAAAAAATACATTTTTTTTCATCCCATTTATTTTAAATTATTTTGCTAAAGGTAAAGATAAAAATAGGTTTTATTTTTAAAATAAATGATTATAAATTATATATAAATATTAATGTGGTTATAAATTCTAAGAAGAGTATAATATTATTTTAAAAGCTAAAATTATTTCTAAGGACTATAGGGTATTTAGTGCGGTTATACATGATCTTGTGGTAATTAATACTCTAATATCAGATGACATCTTGACAACTAATACTAATTAAATAAGATTATAATTTATAAGTACATGTTTTGCACTAGTTGAGGACTTTTGATGGAATAAGATGGTGTGTGGTTTATATTATATTTCGATAATTTTTTTTCTCATGAGCTATTACGAGTTGCGTTAGTTTGATAAAAATTTATTTTCTATTTAATTACCTTAATTTCATACACGCTCTCTCTCTTGTGTTAATTTATTTGATTTGACTTAAAGTACGATGGTCAAATTGATTGATGTTTGATGTGAATTCAGTTATAAAAAAATTATTTTATTTAAAATAAAATTTATAAGCTTGAAAATATATGAAAAATATAAAATATCACAATAGATAATAATAATTTAAAATATATTTAAATTTACTATAAATAATATTTTCTCTGTCCCAATTTGTATGAGGCCTTTTAAGTTTTGACAGTCAAACAGTTTGAATGAAATTTTTAATTTTTATAAAATAAAATTTATATATTTATAAATTATGTAAAATTTATTACAAATCATAAAAATTAATAACTTAAAATATTTATAAAAATATAAAAAAATTATTAAATTTTTAAAATTCATAAAATAACATATAAAATAAGACGGAAGTAATAACTTTCGAAAGTAAAAGCAACAGGAAAGGCGGGAGTAATGGGAACATAAATAAAGTAAAATAATAAAAGTAATTTTACGTGATCTTTATGCTGACATCAACGTGATTTAATAATATACGTCGGTGAAGAAAATTAATTTTTTCACTTCTTTTTCTCCCTTTAGTATATTGTTATTTACTTAAAGTTCAATAATTCCAAATGATGAATTTAACAAAAAAAAGAAAATCAATAAATGAGTTCATAAATATATTTAGGTGCCGCTAGAAATATTTATGATGTACGAACTATTTAAAGCATAACGGAGTCGAGTAGGGAGGAGTTAGCAAATCGTTCGAATAGTGAAATTTACGGTAGATATTGAATTTTCTTTAATTTTATAGTGTATTTATTCTTTTATATTTTAAATTTTGTTATTGAAAATTATTCTTATATTAATTGTACTTTATACAAAATATTTATTGTGTTTATTGTACGAAAACCATGTATTGAAAATTATTCTTATATCAATTATTTTACTTTATACAAAATAAACTTATGCTAGAATTTATATAGGTGGAGTATTATTTTTTCTTATTTACGTAACTATAAACAACTTAAAAAATTAAGAAATCCTTGTGTGGAGTTATTAAAAACAAATAATACATGAATTGATTTTGATACTATTGACTTATTTATTTGATAGTGTTTCCAATTTACGTATAGTACCGCATTTAGTTCGTATATACTTATTATTATAATATAAAGATGGTAAGCAATCACATAATTAATAATGTGGAGTTACTATTTTATATCAATACGCTTTATTCATTAGTATTTATATTTCAACTTACTTATCGCCATTAAAATAAATGCCTTTTCATTGTAAATCAATTTAAAAAAAATTTATTACAAAATAAATTTTTTACTTTATTTTTATCAAATCAACTCACTGAAATTTCATTTAGATAGTTACTTTAACTCTTTCATTTTCTTTCACTCTACATAACCTTAAACACGTCACATCCTGTATAGTCTTAAATATATATTTTTTTCATATATGCTCTACCCCATCGTCATCCCTAGATCGGACCACTTGAAAATATAAAATAGGCTCAAGTCTAAAAGAAAGGAGGGGGGGGGGGGCGTTAAGTGATGATTAGGGTAGTCGGCGTGGATGTGTATTAACCCTTTGGAAAGTTGTGGCGTGGGAACTAATTGGAGTGCTTTTGTGTACTGTACCAGACTTTTAGCTCTCTAATTAAAGTCAAGTTTCTAATTAACTTCTCATTAATTTGAACAAAAAATATAACCCAACTTTGAAGTATAAAAATACAAAGTGTGTTAAGCCGCAATAAATAGACATATAAAAATATTGAAAATATCTTTAAATTCTTTTGTGAATTTATTAGTTTCAGTTTGGAATTGTAATATAAGTGAAATACTTCATAAATTTTCGTCATATTTATAGTTTTCAACATTTCTAAAGTTTCATGCTTCTAAAGGAGGAGTTTTAAATCACTCATTGTGTCATGTAAACAGATGAATGTAAATATAAATTTAGCTAGTCAAGTAGAAAGGTGTTTTTAAAAGTATCAATAGTTCGAAAATGAAATTAATACTTTATATCTAGCTAGTTTAAAAGTGTTTTATGCAGGGGCGGAACCACCTTGGTACAAGTGGGTTCATTCGAACCCCTTTGACGGAAATTATATTATTTATATATGGTCAAAATAATATTTTATTATATATTGTAGATGTCAAACCCCGTTCGACTATTCCGTGTGTATCTCTACGAATTTTGAACCCCATTATTAAAAATTCTGAATCCGCCGCTGATTTTATGTACTTTTCTCTAAACACGTGTACACTATCAAAAGAAATGATTTTTTTAAAAATATTTTGAATTTAAGTGTTAAATATGAAAAGACTTAATAGAAAAATATTATCTCTCTAAATACGATAGAAATTAAATTAATTAAACTTTAATATAAATAGAAAAAAAATAAAAATATATGGATAGTAGTAGAAAGTAGAGATGATTTATTGTTTATTTATTTATGATAGAAAAATAAGTAGTACTTAATAATAATAATGGGTGCTATTATTATTTAGCCGTCTAGTTTGTCGTTTGTGTGGAGCAACGCCGTTTGTTTGCGTTTGACTGCACGCTTTCTTTTTATTTTTTCTTTCACACCTTTCTTTGTCATATTATCATAAAACAATAAAAACAACATTTACTATATTCTTTCTTTCTATTTTCATTTTATAAGATAGTGACATTATTTTGAAAAAACAAATATAATACTAGCAAATACTTTCATATATTATACTCTATGTACTTTTAATATACTTGAATACTTTTATGTACTAGTAATTAATTAATCATGTAAACCATTTAAAATTATATTAAAAAATTAATTCTTTATCTTCTTTTTTAAATAAAAAATTCTAGGTAATTAACTTTCTTATAAATTTGATATTTATGCATTATTTTCATTGTGTGAAAAAATGTCATTAAAGTTTTTCTTTTGCTTCTCTTCGATAAAAAATAATAATTTAAAGTAATTTTTCAATGTTTATTAAAAAAGAAACTTTAATTATATGTAGCATAACAATTCTACTGCCCAATTGAGAAATGAACCTATAATTAGTGAATTTTTCAAACAAACAATTTGAAGGTGCAACTCTTGTTGTACACCAAATTCTTTCATTTTTGTTTTTCATTTTTCGGAACACGATAGATGTTTTAATACTATCAGAAATCGTGATGAAATGATTTTTTTTTATTTATTTATAATTAAAAAAACTCAAAATTTAAATTCGAGTCCTTGATCTATAACTAAAAATACTTTAATGTTGAATATGTGACAAAAAATTTAAATTAATCATATCTCTATATTTGACTTATGCGATATTTCAACTGAGTTTATAAACTTTTGAATCTTTTGGTAATTTTTTTTAATTTATTTTTTATATTTATATTGGAGATTAATTAAATAAATGTTTTTAAAAAGACAAGTTTATACTCAAAAACTCGTACTCGAGACTTTTAATTAAAAATAAACTACTTTTATCATCTTCTCTAATTTGTTTGTTAGTACTCTTTTTTGGGGGGCAAAAACAGCATTAACAGTTAACCAACAGCTCTACCATGAATTGTTAATGACTCTGTTTTCTCTCTCATTCACTATTCTTGTCTTTTTATTTCCCCTCCTTTCTCTGTCTTCACCTATTTCACTCTCTGCTTCTGCGTGTGTGTGTGTGAATTCTCCACGCTTTAAACTTCTAATTTTGGGGATAAATAGTCTTTCTCTTTCTCTTTCCCCTTCTCCACATTTCTGCTCTGTTTCTGTTCTTTTCTTTGGGACACTGTGATTGTGTCTCTCCTTGTTGTTTTTGTTAAGGAATCAAAAAAAAAAAAAATTTCCATCTTTGGACCACTCATTATGAACCTTGTATTCTTCAAGATCACTACACCCTTTTAAATTTCTACTCCAAAGTTTCAATCTTTAATCACTTTTAAGTCATGGTGGACACTAAAGAGATCAACACTAATGAATCTAAGGTAACCCCCTTTTGTTCTGTTTTAATTTTCTGTAATTTTGGGGTTTGACCCTTTTGTGTTTTCAGTTTGAAGAATGGATGTTTCTTTGGGTTGTCTGTACAAATTTTACAAAATCACCTTTTGCTCTTTTTGGGGTTTTTGATTCCTTTTTTCTTTTCAGCAATTGGTTTACTTTCTCTTTGTGGCTATACATACATGTTTTTTGTTTGTGCTCTATTTGTAGATTGATCCATTTTTTTGTAAAATATGCAGAGGGTGGTTCCACTTAATACATGGATACTTATATCGAATTTCAAGTTAGCTTACAACATGCTACGACGATCTGATGGAACATTTAACCGTGATTTAGCTGAGTTTTTAGAAAGAAAAGTTGGTGCTAACTCGATTCCAGTTGATGGTGTTTATTCATTTGATGTTGTTGATCGGTGTACCAGCTTACTTAACCGTGTTTACAAACCTGCCCCGAAAAATGAGTGTGATTGGGGTAAAATTGATCTTGATACACCTCTCAGTACTAGTGAGATTGTCCCTGTCATTATCTTCTTCCACGGTGGAAGCTTTACTCATTCATCAGCTAACAGTGCTATTTACGACACATTCTGTCGTCGTCTTGTTAGTATATGTAAGGCTGTTGTTGTATCTGTGAATTATCGAAGATCTCCTGAGAATCGATATCCTTGTGCTTATGATGATGGATGGGCTGCTCTTCAATGGGTAAAATCTAGAGCATGGCTTCAAAGTGGAGAGGATTTGAAAGTTCATGTGTACATGAGTGGTGATAGTTCTGGTGGTAACATAGCTCATCATGTTGCTGTTCAGGCTGCTGAATCAGGCGTCGAGGTTTTAGGAAATATTCTTTTGCATCCCATGTTTGGTGGACAAAATCGAACTGAGTCAGAGAGTAGATTGGATGGTAAATACTTTGTGACAGTTCAAGATAGGGATTGGTATTGGAGAGCTTATTTGCCAGTAGGTGAAGATAGAGATCATCCAGCTTGTAATATATTTGGCCCCAGAGGTAAAACACTCCAAGGACTTAAATTTCCAAAGAGTTTAGTTGTTGTAGCAGGGTTAGATCTTGTTCAAGATTGGCAACTCAATTACGTTGAAGGGTTAAAGAAATCAGGGCATGAGGTGAATCTGTTGTATCTAAAGCAAGCAACCATAGGTTTCTATTTCTTGCCTAATAACGATCATTTTCGATGCTTAATGGAGGAGATAACAAGTTTCATACATCCTAACCATTCCTAGACTAATATATAACACAAGCTTGACTCTAGTGAATATAAATGGTGTGTATTAGTTACTGTATGATTTGTGTAAGCATTGCTTCTCACTGTTACTTGTCATCAACATAAGTAAGTACATTGTTGATAAGAGTGTTCACCTTGATGGTGGTTGTCATTTGAAGACGATTAAGAAAGGCGTTAGCTGACCGAGTCTTGGCCTGAGAAATGTAACTTGTTGAATTAGTACAAGAGTCATTTTCTGGTGGTGTCTCAGTTGTTACTAAACATGGATTGCAAAATTCATGATGTTGTGATCTTACTTTGTATGTTATAGTTGTGATTTTAGAAAATATATACAAGTTTTTGTTTGTTAATTTTGTCCTAATCATTGAAAACTATTTGTGCTTATATTCACAAGTGTTGAGTTCCTTTGGGATTTAAAGAAGTGTACAAGTACTTCTACAACAACAAACTCTCTAATCCCATGTTCGTGGGATCTGGGAAGGACGATGTGTATACAGTCGTACTACTACTTTGTGAATGTAGTTTTCGATCGGTTCAAACTTAGGTATAAAAATAAAGGAGAAAGAATAGTAGCAAAATGACAAACAAGATGTGAAAAAGCTAGCAAGTAATTATGTTATAATAAGTTAAAGTTTATGTTGTTAAGTCTCATGTTACATTAACTAATGTAGCACTTGGCTATTTTGGTGTTTATCTTTGCATCAGAATCTTTATTATTTTATGTAAAAATATATGAAAACTTATAATACCCAGTCAATACATTTGTATTTAAATACAAAAGAGGTGTGGTTAGGGGAAGCTTCCTATGTATGTCATTACTTTAATGTAAATGAGTTGGTTATCTTGCAACTTCAGGGAATTCACATTCAAGACATGAGACTTACACTTTGTTTTGGATGGTTGTTAGCTATTGTATTGTATTATATTATTAGTTTAAATATAAGATTTATTTTGATTGTTATTTAAATTCTTTTGTTTCGTATTGCTTAAAGTCATCATTAGATATAACAATGACAAGACTCATTTTATATAATGAGCAGTTCGTTCGCTGTGATCGCGCCGTTACCTTAATATGTTCTTCTTGTTTTATCTTTATTTATTATTTGATAATCATACTTTTATCTTTTTTCCTATCTTTTCAAAGTAGCTCTACCTTGTACTTTACTTTTTCTTCTTGATTTATCATTCAAATTACAGATATGTTGATATTATGTAACGACAGAGAACGATACATCCTCTCCAAACAATATATTCATTAAAACAATATAGTATGATATCATAAAACACAATATAATATATCAACCATTTAAATAAATAAATTCAAATTACTGAATTCTGTGGAACCGTACCCTAAACTATTGTAAATAGGTCGGTTTGCTAAAAGTCATATGCTAAAATTGGAGGTGATGAAGTAGGTATAGTTGCAATTTTGTAGTACATAGAAAGTGTGGGGTTTGTGTGGACCCTAAAGGAATTCCCCCCTTTGAACCAAAAGGCCAAAGACAAAGCCAAAACAAAACCCTGTCCATCCAAAGTGAAATGAAGGGTACATTATATACATAGTTCCATGATTGGACATTGATTCAATGTTTTCTATCCCTCTTTTCTTGAAGTTGATTTTTATGCATTTTTTTGTCACCTATTTCTTCTTCTATATGGGTCTTTTGGGAATTTTTATTTGGGATATTTTTGGATATACAATATATATATATATATATATGTTTTTAAATTTATTATTTTCTTGTATTATATTAGAGAGACTTGAAGAAGGGTAGAGAGCTTATCTTATCAACCATTGGTTGGGAATTTTGGATTTAGCACTTGTTTGTACCAATACAAATAGGGGGACCATGATATATATTATTATAAAATAAAATAAAACTGAGTACTGAATTTTCTGTATATGTATACAAATTAAATGTGTTATATTTGACTTCATACAACTATATACATTTTTTTTCCTTGGGTTGAGGAGGCCTGGCTCTGTATTCAAGAAAGACTTTGGTGAATATATTCGGAGGTAGCACTTTCAATTCGAAATTTCTGAATAAGGATAAAACAGTTTCACACCTTCGCAATACATAATATCTTTTCTTATTTTTTTTTGTTGACTCTCGACTTTGCATGTCAATTATATTTATATTAATTAATTTATAATTTTTAGGTTTTGTAAGAATAATTTAAAAAATAAATAATTAATGTAGAGATAAAACATGAATAAAGTGACAAGTAAAAGTAATTTCTTTTTAATATAATGGACGAGTAAAAGTGGACGTAGAGAGCCATTTTGATTTATGTAAACGCTTAACTTAATGCGAAATTTAAGAATTTTTTTTTTTTGAAATTTATGGTTTAGACAATCTTTAACTATTTGTTAGGTTGTAGTTTATTTTATGAAGATAAAAATAATTTTTTCAAAGTCACGCTAATTTAATTATAGAAATGTTACATTTTTCTGGAATGAACCAAAAAATGAAAATATGTCAATAAATTGAGACAAAAGAATAATACTAGTTAGTTCATTGGATAAAATTCATAAAGAGCCATTTTAAAATTTCTATAATTGAAAAAAATTTACTGTTAAGAAATTTCTAAATCATGCATACAATTTTCAAAATATTATCATAAAATATGTAAACTTTTTAAAATTATACTTAGAATGAGATTATGTAAGCTCTTGTAATACTAATAACCTCAACAAAATATCTAAAGCATTATTGATGTAACCCTTGACAATAGTTCACATAATTTGGAAAATTATTGCTTTAAAGAAGAAAATAAGCCTTTAAAACGTGAAATCAAAAAAGACTTGTAGGAGTAATAATTGGCTTATTTGTTACATTTACCTTTCAACTTTCCTATTCTAGTGGTTGCTTACAAGTAGAGATAACGTAAATTATCAGTTTCGTTCTTAAATTATTGATAATTTTGAAAGTATTTTTTTATTTGATTTATTAAATTTAAATATATACATCGATCTATCACATGACATAATTAGTATTTTCAAATTCTTGTTAAAGCATGAAGTTCTTTTCTTGGTAAAAAGTCGAAAGAAGTTTTGGAAATTGAGAGAATTTAAAGATGTATTGTTGGAAGATCGAGTGTGTAGGTGTTTTTATAAAAATAATAATTTATACTGATTTTTAAAAAAATTGATATAATTTTTTTTAGAAATATTTATACTATAATTGAAAATCAAATTATTTATTTAGATGATTATAAGTCATTTTCTATACCTAATTTAAAATTTCTAAATTCGTCGCTGTTTTAACGTCGGCACACTGATCCTACTTCAAAACCGTGCAACACCAATTTTGATTTGACAACAAAAAAAATTGATGATTAAATGACATTGTCTATAAAAATAATTGAAATTACAAATTCAAATTTTTTAATAATATTTCTTGGCTTATAGCTAAAAGGACCACTAGTTGGGGGTACTTATTATTATATGTACTAAAAAATGTTTTATTATGAATTTTGTCGTTTTATAAAGGGGTTATTAACAGCTGTATACTAAAAAGACTTGTTGAATAAAACGTGGTTTAGGGAGACAACATGTAGTCGTTGTCATCAAATTATTATCATTATAAATAAATTAATATCAATTTGTCATTAAAAAAATAATATTTTTGTTGTTAACATTTTTCTCTCTCTATTTATTTATTTGATTTTAATTTGTTATTTCGAATTTATCTATTCTGGTCGGTCATATGCGGCTGTATGTACTTTCACACCCCTTTGGCTCTCAAACTCTTTAAAGAATTCTATCTATTTTAAAATAAATATTTTCTCCCGTCAATTTTACTTATTAAAATATATTTTTATTTTTTATTTTTCATTTTTGATATATGAGTTTTTTTTTTTATATTTTACTCCTAGTATTAAATATTATTCCATATAGTATCATTTATAAAGACTCAATACAAAACATTAATTAGAAAGGATAATGTAGAAAAATACTTATATCAATAATATTTTTTAATATTTGTGTTAAGTTAAAAAATAACGAGTAAAATTGAACGAAGGGCGTAATTTTTAAATAAAAAGAAAGGCAGTTTTAATGAGGGTTGTGTATTTAGTTATTGAGTTTGATTTTATCAAATTTTGGTTAGATTTATTGATTTACCATTTTGAATGAGTCAAATCAATTTGATTTGATTTGACCTTCGATTTAGTTTGGTTTAGTGTTTATAAAATAATTTTTTGGTGTGAATGAAGAATAAAATGAGAATAAATTTAAGTATAAAATACTTAACACGATGATATATATTGCCGTGAATTATTTATTGTGTTTAAAAGATTATATTTGTCTTTGTCAAAAATATTTATTGATAAAAAAAATTAGGACAAAAACGAGTTCCTTTACATGGCTTACATGAGCACAAATACGTTTTGCTTTTTTTTGCGAATTGATATTTAAAGTTAACTATCTGAATTGTAAATTTGTTGCTACTTTGATTTGTTCATGAATGATTTAACTGCTAGTTAATTTTGTTTGTTGGTCAAGGAAATGGCGATTATAAATTTTAATTTTTTGATATACCGATGTTTCGACACCTTTACACCAAACACTAATAGAAGAACCAAATTAAAAAAAAACATATTACTAAACCTAAAAATAAATTAATCGAAGCTAAATTAATTCGATTTAGTTTAATTTTTCAATATGCACCCCTAATTTTAACCCCTTAAAGAACTTATTCAAATGGACTATAAAATTATCCTAATCCCAATTTAGTAACCTAACAATACCATCTGTCATTATGAAGAATTAGGTAAAAGCATGTGTTATGGAACCCAAATTTACCATTAATGTTAATGAAACAAGAAAGTTTGTTGCTAAGTTATATAAATGAAAATAAATGATTGATGGAATGAACCCCATCTCTACCCCCACCCCACCCCCCCAAAAAAAAGAGAGATATTAATTAAATGTGTGTATTTCTTTGTTTTTGTTTTTATGTCTATATGTATAATACTCCATTTGTTCGATATTATTTATCATAGTTTCTATTTTTAGAGTTAAATTATAAAAATTTTGACCTACGTTTTATGATGTATTTTTTATCATATTAATATGTAAAAAGTTGTAATTTATAGTACTTTTCATATAGTATTAGAATATCTAATTTTTTTTTTAAATATCAAATTAATATGATTTAATTTAACTTAAAATATTAATCAAATTGACTTTCAAAAGGCTTATCATGACAAACAATCCGGACGGAGGGTACCAAACATGACAAATAAGAATGAATCATTTGATTAAAAAAACAATAATTAAATGTGTGTGTATTTCTTTATTTTTGTTTTTGTGTCTATATGTATAATAATATGTATAAGACATGACAAATAAGA